ATGCAAGAAATTTTGCCTTCTCAGCAAAAGGAATAGAGAACCTATTTTATTAGAGATGTGACAAACCCACATTTTCAATAGTTCTGTGACAAACATGTAAGTAGTCTCAGTATTTGCTGACCACAGAATAAAATAAATCCTAATGAAAGAAAGCAATCTGGACAGCAAAATACAGTTTTGCCCCTATGAAAGAACCACTGGGAAAGACCAGCAGGAGTGAGTCTAAAGCAATGCAAGGATGATCGGGAAAGGAGATACAGTCAGCATGTTCTGGGGCTGCATAAAGAAGTCCCCAGAGCACACTTTACACCAGTTAGACACCAATGATGCAGATTTTCTTCTCTTTTCCTCCAGAAATATCCATAAAATAAAAATATCATTACTTATGGGAGAAGATGTGATCTTGAGTATCAACACACTGTAAAAGTGGGGTTTTTTTAAACATCTGAACAACTGCCAAACAGCTACAATATATGTAAAATCCAATGTACATCTATTTTGGATTTTATTTTTTAAGTTTAGTAAAAATACAGTAAACATATCCCAGCAGGTCTGCAGTCAGTGTGACTGGTATGCCCCTTCACCAGTTATGCAAGCTAAGAAGCCTTTCAAGTAGTAACTAGAAGACTTATGTGATAGTATTACAATTTGAACTCTTCAGAGCCTTTGCAAAATGCAACTGCTTTGTTTCAGAAGGTTTTATCTGCACAGCAGATCATTCCCGAGGCAAGGCCCAAAGGTTAAAACTGTTAATATAAAGAGAGAGACGAAACTCCTAATAAAGTCTAATTTTGAAATTCTTGCTTCAGCTGAGTAACATGATCCTCCATAATAGGAGTCATCTGTTGACTGTTTGGGAAGTAAGGATAAGTTAGAAGAGATTTTAAAACTTTGTTCACTACTCAACACTTGAAACTGTAAGTTGTCTTTGTGGTACCAGTCATATTTACCATACTTGTATTATTAATCTTGTTAAGAAGATTGAAACAATAAGTTCTCCAGCAAAAGTTCAAGCTAGCATAAAGGAAGGAAATAGTTAATTAACCCTAACCCTCAGAGCACCTACAAGGAGTATGTGGTGATCAGATCAAGCAAAACACTTCAAATATTAGTGGAGCAGTAAATTTTGACCACATGACATAAGTCATGAGACTATTTTCTTGTGATCTCAAACAAGCCTAACCATTACTTTAGACCACAATGCACAACCTCCCTCACATATAAGTTGCACACATAAACTTGTATACAAATTTATTCAACCCTTATCTAAGAAGTAACCAAGCAGTTGTTGACACCACATTAAAGCAACATCTTTCAAGCACACATTTTTCCACCTACCTCCAAATAAAGAGCTACAGTACATAGTTATACAACACCAGCATCAGTACTGAACTGGCGATCAGATGCCAAGATTTCACAGGCATGATTTGTTATGTGATTATCAACCTACTCTGGAGGATCTTAAAACAGCTAAACCCTCTCATCAACCATACCTGAATATTTTTAGGAGTGGAAGGAGGGAAAACCTGTTTAGAATAGCACATCCACAAACTCTTGAAAGTGAGCCCTCATCACCCACCTTGTTTCAATGAGGTAAGCAGTGTATGTTTCTTGCATGTTCATGGCATTCCTCCCAGTTCGTTTTTCAGCTTCTGAAACAGTGATTTCCATTTTTTTTGCCAAACAGTCTTCCATCTTTTTAGAGGAGGAAAACAAAGATTCACGAACATTAGCCAGGCAAGGCAAAGGCTACTAACCCTGCCTCCCCTTCTCCCACACTACATTCATCCATTTAAGACAGGTAAGATAAAAAAAACAGGATAAAAGCTTTGGATAGGTTTTGGGTTTTACTTATGTTCTGTATACATATGCAAATGAAAACAGAAAAAAATGCTTTTGAAGAAAAAAACAACCCAAAGTCAACAAACAGACAACTTCGGATACCAAAAGCCATCGTGAGCTGGGAAGATACAGAAAGGATAAATATTTTTCCTTAGAGGTAACAAAGCAACCTTTTTTCAAAAACAAACAAACCAACCCTAATACTTTCTACCCAAACACTTCCCAACTATCTGTGAATTCCTCCTCGGGACACACGTAACCACCTCTCCCCTTTCACGGGAAACAGAATACATCCGGACCGAGATGTTTTTCTTTTAATCTCTCAGAGGAGGATCGTTATCTTTTACACATTGGCGGGCAGAAGTCAGTCAGGACCACCTGCCCGCCCTGGAAAGGCAGAGCTGAACTGACCAGGGAAGAGGACTTATTTGTGAAATGGAGAAGGAGGTAAATTTAGAAAAGAATTTATAATAACAAATAAAAATAATAACCTGGTACTAGGGATGAGGGCAGACGGCGCACAAAGCCCTCTGACACCGACGAGAATGCAGCTGGAAGGAGAACCGCACAGCTCAGAGGGCCGGGCTGCTCAGCTCTGCCCCGGGCTCCCCCAGGCAGGGGCTCAGCCCTCGGCAGGCAGGGGGAGGGCTGGTCCCACCTGTAGCCCCTT